CCGCCGCCTCCGCCCCCGGCCCGGCCCCCCGCGCCCCCGGCGGGAGGAGCCCCGAGCGGCGCCCGCTCCCCGGGGGGGCCGGGGCCGGGGGCAGCGGGAGGAACCTCTGGGAAGCGACCTGGCACCGTCGGTTCGATGGCGGGGAGAAGGACGCTCGTGTGCAAGGGGGTTAAGCTCCTGGGCACCGCGTGCGCGCTGCAAGAGCGGGCTCAGTCACGGCGCGGTTCTGCRGCTTGCCCGCGCCGAGCGCTCCCCGGGCTCACCCACAGCAGGCAGCAGGGCACAGCCTGGCCCCGCAGGAAGGCTGTGAACGGGGAGACAAGATTGCAAGATGGGTAACCACCTGCCTGTGCTGCGGGATTGGCATTTCCAGAGGGTGGCTTTATAATGCAGTGGGATGCCCCGGGGTGTTTTGTGACCCTGCGGGGCTATAGTGTTACTCGTGACACACAGACACTGAGGCTGCCTGAGCTGCAGTCTGACCCAGGGACTCTCGGCAGGGGCAGACCCCATAGGAGAAAGGACGCGTAGATGGTGAATGTTTCGTAGCCTTTACCTTGGTGGGAGGGTGGGATACTGTAACCTTTCTCTGGCGAGCATTCAGACTGTCATTCCTTCTTTTGCCTTTGCAGCCCTCTTTTGACAAATGCACCCACAAAGGGGGATATGAACACAAAATCCCAGCTTTCCCAAGAACGTGGGAGCGTTTACATAACTGATAGGACTGAACTCCACAGGACCCCATTAGTCCTCTTTCAGCAAACCCATGTGTGCACATTCTCCTTGGGAGAAGGAGTTACTGCAGTATCACTCCAAACTATTTCAGCTGAATGAGAGTGGAGAATGAAGGTAAGGAGTGGATTTTATGTTTGCTTTAATTCAGTATGAACAGAGGTAATGAATTTGGTTTCTCTGAACACTTACCTAAATGTACCATGCCCAGATGTAAGCCCAGAGTTGCTTACTTCCAGTCAAGAAGGACCTGAGCAAATGGACTTTTATTTGGGCCCAAATTATTCTATCTACCAGATGTTTAGTTTGGCTAGGCCTGTAGTTTGGCCTCCTACAAAGCAGCCTGATGAAACATTCAAAGCCAGCGGTTCCATTCCACAGTGTCGGGTTTTTGCTCAGATGCTACAGTACAGTGAGAACAATTTTCACTTCTGTTTTCACCCGCTTGCCCAAGGACTGTAAGTTTTTCCATTGTAAGGTGTTTATGGATCTCACAGATGAAGAGAGAGGCGGTGGGCAGCAAGTAATACTAAAACAGCATTACACTGGGTCTTAGCACAAGGCCTGCAGATGAAACGGCCTGAGTGAGATTAGCTCCTAACCACTGTGGCAAGAGGCAGGYGGCAGATGTCCCGGGGAGAACTTCAGTGCCTTGGTCTGGGCTCCCGGCGTTCTGTGAATGCATTTAGAGAGATCTCTGAGGAAGGTTGGGGAGGGAAAGTTGAGCTGACTTCTTTTTTTTTTTAGTATTACTGAGACTACCAAAGCAAAGAATTAATAGGGGATGTATTTTGTGAGGCTGGAGAAGCCTCGTGCCTTACCTCTGTTCTTCTTCATCAAGGGATAACTGAGCGAGTGGGTACAAGAAAAAGGAAGTGTGGGTTAGGTCATTAGCTGATAGCTGCTTTGCAGGTAACTCACTGATAGGTCTATCAGGTGTAGTGAATCTCTGCAAGGAGTCAGTCAGACCCAGAGTACCAAGGTAAAGGTCCATTCTGCAATTTTCATGTGTAAATCTCAAGTGTCCTTTTATGGACGATGAGGCTGAAGCCTGACAAAATCACTAGATGGCCAAAGGTGGCTGGCAAGTCAGAGGCAGATCAGGGTGTGGATTTTGAAGGTTTGATTCTGTAGCTATAGCTAGAACTACAACATGCACCGTAGGTCGCAGCAGCACTTGTCAGTGTGGTAGAGGAGGTGTGAAGTGGGCTAAAATGATTAAATTTAAGAAGGGAAAATGAAGTAACAAGGGAGTAGGAGTTATGTGAGACACTGCAGAGTTGTTTGGAAAGTGAAGGCTAATAGTAAAGGACAGTCAGAAGCTTTGAGAGTTGTTTTAATGATATTTCTACTGACGTACTGCTTATGAAATATTTTAAATAGGCTGAAATCAAAAATATTTCTGTCCAKGTGCCATTAAAATTGCTTCTCCTGATGATGATCCTTTAGAGGCTGAAGTCTCATTGCAGCTAGAAGAAATTGACCTAAAGTAGGTATAGATTCCAGAAGCGAATCAGTAATRGCATTCAAGTCAAAAGCTTACGATCCTCAACCAACCCTATACTGATTTCACTGGGGAAAGGGAATAACAGCATGGAGCTTTTCTTCATAAAGAATGCCCTGTGGAGGTTGTTATCTCTGAAAGGAATTGGGTGTGCGAGAGAAAATGGGAAAGTAGCGGGGCTAAAGATTGGATACCCATCTGTAACATTACAGAGATACTTTAATATGGAAAAACACCTACTTTTGATTACCAAAGATAAGATTTTAGTGGCAAGTAAGTACAGCAGCGCRTTACCGATCTCCGTGAGAGTGCCAGGTAAATAAGGAGAACATCGCAGTCAACAGCTGAAGAGGGAGACAAGGTCAGGAGGAGGAAGCTGGTACTTGACTCATGTCAAAAAAGAGCAACTTCAGCTCCTGCARAAGGAGCGGGTTCCAGTCACACTGGGTAGTGTTCTGAGAGCTGCTTATTCCCAGCTGAGAAAAAAAGTGTCTGTGCRATGATTATATGAGAACTTGCTAATAGTTTCACATCAGATGAGGGGAATCTCAGGGACAAATTAAGTGAGCTCATCTTCTAATGGCTGTGGCTTCGCCTTTAACACTAGTTGATAATCAGTAGTTTGCTGGTTGACCAGAGGGCTGAGATTTTCTTATTGCCCATTGAGGTGCTAATTTGATTGGGAGAACAGTGTATCAGAAGCCTCACTTCCTTCTCACATGGTATTTTTGTGGATGTGTCAGAAATTATTTGCAGTAGAGCAGTTAAAGTCCACTGAGGCCTTTGAAACGGATAATAGGTACCAGGGAAGATGGTCGGAGAAAGCGCCTTGTTACTGTGTTTGTCAGACAGGTTTATCTGCAGAGAACAGACCACGTGCTGCACAGAGCACGCCAGGGTTTGCACCACGCTTTGTACAAGTATCACTGGGCCAGGCAAAGGGAACAGCCAGTTGGCAAACAGGCTGAGAACAAGAGTATAATCTCTGCAAAAGCCAACACATCCAATCCTAGCAAAGTCACTAAGCTCCTTGTTTGACGTGTCTGTCGGTGACAGTTTTCCTCATTTGCCACCACTCTGCCCTCTCAGTTGTGCAAACACAGATGTCCACAGATGTCCCCAAAGCCATAAAATGAGCCGTGTCAGAGAGCTGGGGTGGATAGCAGTGCTGTTCTAAAGTGTATCTGATACCCACTCTGCTTGTCATGAAAGTGTCATAAACTATTTTAACCCCACTCGGTTCCCTTACTGAGATCACCACGCACCCCTGCGACAAGCTGTGCCTGCATAACTGAAGGAGAGAGGCTACATGGCAGGGAGGGCGAGAAGGTTTGAGCGGTGAGGGTTTGAGCGGTGCTATTTTAGCCAGCACATGTCAAAACATGCTCTGCAGGGCTTTCACTGATGGCAGGCTGCGTGGTACTTGTGGAGCAAGAGAAGACATCGGCCATCAGGAACCCAAAATGAGAGCAGTGAAAAAAGGTCATCAGGGCTGAGTGCCCTTATGGTCTAATTCAGCTGAAAATGTATTTCCTAGGGAACAGGAGAGCATCGTTGGGGACCTCGGGTGGCACCAGGAAAATGGAGACTTGCAGGGTGCAGCCTTTTACAAGCTCTCAGCACTAGGAGCTCCACTCCAGAATCTGTGTTATACTGGCACAAACTAGAAACACTGCTTAAAATCTAAAGGTAAGTGTGGAATACATGCAGAGAGTGCTAGGAGGAGTATATTAATAGTACTAAACTTGCACAATTTTTTTTTTTAAGCATGCTTTATAAGCAAAGACTTTTAGCCTAAGTKAGGTTGAAAAGAAATGAGAAGGGAAGAACAATCGGTGGAAATGGGTATAGGAGAGAAATGGTCCYAAGTGCAGACTTTTCACCTCCACAGCTGAAGGTCACCTCAGGACAAGAACAGACTGACTTGGGGTAATTACAGAATAGAGARAATAGGCTACAGTTTGTTCTGCCCACAAGGAGTGGCAGTGCCATATTTTTTAGGAGGTTTATAGTGATGCAGGTTTTTAAGTTGAATTTTGCCCTGAATTAGCGTTCCACTAGGACTGGACTCATATTATTGCCTGGATTCCCACTTAGAGGCTGAAGGAGACATCCACTTCCTCATGCCTGAACTTCCGAAGCTTAGGCAAGATTTAACCTTAGGCTGCAGTTGTGAGTGTATTTTTGCTTGTAACTGTCAGCTCTTGTTCATTTTTAAATTTCATTGCTGGGAGCCTGCATATACATCTAGCATATTACATCTCTTCCTTATTTCACCAGTAATCTGGTACCTGCTGTTGGAGCTTGGGGTGAAACCAGCAGATTTAGTCTGTGTCTATAAAAATAATGAATCCTAATGAAACAATCTGTGCAGGCCGACCTGAGAGACCCGCAACCTAAAACACCTCACACAGGGTCTCAGGGTATCAATGGCAGCTTTGTTGCCACCAGATGTCCACCTTGCAGGACCTGGGAGGGCATTCCATCTGCTGAAGCCAGTTGGGAGGTGATTTTCACTGGGGGTCGAGTTTTGTATATTCGTGCGGCACRAACCTGCACCTCCCCACTACATCCGAACACCTGAATGACCCCTTCAATTCCGGG